GTTACCTGAAAATGTGAAAAACTCACTCTTCCTATAGCATATTCAAAGCATCAATTTATAGACTCATTTTGTCAGGTCATTTTAATAACCATTGAAACCATTTCCCCTGTCTGGTTGCCTATTAATATTTTCTGTTTTATTTTGGAATTTGTTTGCTTTTTTATTATTTATCAGTCCTTATATTTTGTTTGATTTATGTTTTCATCGCACATATTTTAGTTAAGGTGGTCTGCACATACAAATATGTATCTTGATCTCCTGTGCTTTCGGCCAAATAAATTATTTTTCAATTCAATCCAATTCAATATATATAAAGATAAAACTAAGGTTGTAGAATTTGCTTCTGATGTAATCTATTAGAAGCACTGTACAAATTCAATAAAACAATTGATTTAATAAATTTAAATAGTATAATTTTCGTTGCATTTTATTATTTAATTTACTTTTATTAAAACTGCATGCTGATAGAAAACTCTTTAGTTAAGTTAAAACGTCTTAATGTTGTATATGATGATTTTTTTTATTAATTCATAATAGTGGTTTGCATTTTGTACATCATTGAAATGATTTTCCATGTTAAATAAATCTTCGTTGACACATTGTTGGAGTATGTTGCTTTCAATTACAAGTTTTTTCTTAAAACAATAATTATTTATTTTTAATAATCTTTCTGATTCTTGGCAGATCTGAAAATCATTAAAATTTATTGTTTTTACCAGAAAATAAATAAACGTATCGTTTTACTTTTAATACTCCTTTTGAGGGATATGTCAATTGTCCAAGCCATTTTTCTGAAATTATTTGTAATTAAGTTTTAGTTTAGATATTGAGATATATAAAAAAAAACCTTTGAGTTTTGTAAATGTAACACCATCTAAATTTTTCAAACTTAGTAAGTAGGCTTTCATTTCATAAAGTTTATCTATAGTGGCTGTCAGGTTGCTCTTTGTAATGGATTGCTTCCATTCTCTATCTAGTATCAGTTTGCTGTTCAATATATGGAAAAGATCATTGATGTTTTTCACTAAAGCTATTGTTTCAGAAACGTCAGAAAAAAAACATAAAATCCGTTTAAGAGTTCCAATGATTTAGCCGCAGAGCAACTAAAGACTCGAGATGCATATTTAACTTTCATCTTATGCTTTTCAAAATTTACACAACTTTTGGTTAATTTATTTTTTAGTTTCATTTTGATTTGTTGCTGATAATTAACTAAGTTTACGATATGATTCCTTTGATTGGATTATTATTATAAAATATCATATAAGAATGAAACATATTCCTCATTAATTTCAGCATGTGGCATGCATCAAATATGATATATATTTTCTGGCCGGTTGTTGGGGACAAGAAACTTGTTTGCATGTTTGGAAATGTGAAAGAGCATCCAAGCAATCCACATGCCGAAACGTTAGTGGCCAACCCATCCATTACCAGTGAAACAACCCTAAAAAATAAATATAATGTATAAAATTTTTAACATATCTTTAAGAAAAACAAATGTTGTTTACCCTAACTCCAGCATTATTTAACTTATCAATGGTTTTCTCTATAAAATCTTTCAACTTGTGAGATGATAACTTATTTGTATAAAAATAAGCTATTGAATGCCTCCAAGCTTCTCTCAGACTAACAACATAAAAAACCAACATCTCTGAAGCAACTAGGTCCTCATTCACCTCTCCATAGTTAACATATCCAATAAAGTCATCTTCACAAATAAACAATGCGTTTGATAATTTATGCTTAACATTTAACATCAATAAAATTAAATAAATTGAAAACAAATGTTTATGGTGAAATGGGAAACAAAAAAAATCAAGAAATAAATAAAATACACAAGGAATAAACTAGCATATGCTACCAAAATATGCTATATTTTAAACTCACAATTTTACAAACAAAATATATTTTAGCAAAATGAATTGAAATTTTGATTAATTTTTTGTTTTTTTTGCTTCTAGATAAAAAACTCATTCCATTTAAAAAGAGTTAACAAAGTATATAATGATAGTTACAAGACCTTTTATATGCAGCTGCATTTTCATGGTCCTCATGCATACCAATTTTTAAGAAAAAGTGGACTAACACTGCCACACTCGAGAACATTGAACAAGTAAAATTTTGTTAATAATGATATTCTGTAAACTAATATTGCTATATAAAGAAATATGTACTGCAAATGAAATATTACAAATGCTCTTTAATTCTTGATTCGATATCAATAAAGCCACAAATAACGTATAATAGGAAAATTGGTAGGTTTTTTTATGGTTACATAACATAAAACCTTTGTATGTAGCTAATTCATTTTTTAATTTATTACATTCATTCGTAAGTTTTCTTATTGTTGCATGCAGCATTGTGATTCTGGACCTGTAATACTTTGATTGCTTTTGCTGTTGCTTGATGAGATGTGCATCCATTGAGCAAAACGTCTAAATATGATTTAAATTTGAAAATAAAGAGCTGCATTTAAAATTTTTCATCATATATATATATATATATATATATATATATATATATATATATATATATATATATATACCCAATAAATTAAAATAAAGAAACACTTATGACAAAAAGCCATTTTACAAAGGCATCCTAATAATAATAATAAACCCATAATATAAAAACTATATAAAAAATATTTGAACATTAATTAACGATAGTTAAAAAAATAAAAAGTCAAAAATTTAAAATAAAAATACAATAAAGCAATGCCATTCCACACACTTTAAGTCATATAGTTACAATAACAAACTATTGGAACTCAATTTAATTTGAAATTTCAAATCATCCTAAAAAAATTAATTCTTTTTTCGACTTGTTTAAGTGAATATTGATTTTTGTTTTATGTTAGTTTGATTATTATTAATTGATTTTTTGTACGCCTATTTTATTAATTTATGGCTTGTTTAATTATTTAATTTTGTATGCTTGATTGATTAATTGTTCTTTAAACACTTGCTTTATCTATTTATTATTTTTTTAATTGATTGTTGATTTTATCTTGACTAGACTATTTTATTTTTTGCTTGATTTGTATATACGTATACATATATATTGTTTCATTGATTTGGTGATTATTTTTGCTGTTTCAAATTAAATCAAATCAAATTTTATTCAATCAATCCAAATTAATAATAATTAGGTAATTATTAGGAGACCAAAGCTAAAAGAAAACAAAATTTTTGTGTCGCAGGCCACCGTTCACAAATTGTTCATTCTAGCACGATTTTTAAGTAAATTTATAATTCATGACAAAATTAAGATAATGCATAATTTACATGATTCTAATAAAATATGTACTTTTTTTCGATAAATATTTCTTTATTTTGTTTTTAAACAAATGCAAGGAATTTGTAGTCTTTATATCAACAGGAAGTTTTTCCCAGATTCCGGGACCGGTATGTTTTAAACTTTCACCAAGCAGTGTTATTCTTGCAGGTGGTGTATAGAGCAAAGGAGAATGTCGAGTGAACTTTGACTGCACAGCATTTCCGAATTCGAAGAAGTCATTAAAAGATGTTGATAATTGATAATGTAGGAACTTGAACACAAAGATAGAAACATGATGGGTATTTTTATTTATTGATTGATTATTTGTTAATATATTGTTTCAATGATTTATTATTTGATGGTTTTTTAATAAATGATTGATTGTTATGATAATTAATTGTTGTATTATTTTTATCATTGTTCAATTGATTGCTGAATTTGTATATGCTTGTTTTACTGATTATTTGTGCAGTTTGTTAGGTTCATTATTTATATTTAGAGTGACTTTTTAATTGGCTAGTCATTTGATAATATATTGCTTTATATGTTTAACAATTGATTGATTGATTATTAGATTGGATTTTTATTAATAGTTGATTGATTATTTGTTATATGGTTTATTTTCTTTATTTAGAAATTAAATGAAATTTTTTATTGATTTCTTTTAGTCCGAATGTATTTTGTTTGTTAGTTACATTATTGAAATATTTTATTGTTAATTTTGTAGATCGCTTTGCTAGTTTAGAGTTTCTGCTAGTTAAATGTTTTCAATATTCAGTATTCTGGAATGGTCAAAAGACGGCCAAAAATGGTGTTGGAATTTTTGTCAGAGAACCGCTAACCCAAGAAGTACTGGATATTAAAAAGATTAACTCACGTCTCATGTGGATCAAAATTCGCCTAGAAAAGCAAACAATGACTATTTTTTCTGCATACGCTCCATAGACAGGCTATTCAGAAGAAATGAAAAATGACTTCTGGACTGCGTTCTCTGACACCATCTCAACAATACCAAAATCTGAAACAATCCTGATTGGAGGCGATCTCAATGGCCACGTTGGAGAGAAAACAGATGATTTTGACAACGTACATGGCGGTTTTGGCTATGGAGAACGGAAAGAAGATGGCAACTGCATCCTTGAGTTTACTGGAAGTCACGGGTTTTGTTTACTGAACACATGTTTTAGAAAGAGGTTGGAACATCTCATAACATACAAAAGTGGACCATCAGCCACGTAAATTGATTTCTTCGTCAAACAACAACAACGAAGGCTATCCAAAAATGTCAAAGTTATACCTGTCGAATCATGTGTCGCCCAAAATAAACTCTTTGTGGCAGACCTGGTTGTCAAACTGTCAAAACATAAGTCTAACAAATGCCTCAGAAAATCAAAACAAGGAAGCTGAAAAACAATATTTATCGATAAAAATTTCAACAGATTGTCGTCACACAGCTAGACCACCAATCGCAAGCCAGTACAGATTGGAGTACATACAAAACCGTTTTGATAAGCGCTGCAACTACAGTTTGTGGAAAAACTGGTACAAAACGTCAGCATGAACGGGACATTTGTTGGTGGAATGACAGTGTACAAAATGCAATAACTGAAAAAAAAGCTGCATACAAGCAATGGCAAAAATCAAAGTCTGTTGATGACCATAAAATTTTCCTTGAGAACAGCTGCCTTTCCATCCTTCTTCGCTTTTAGAGCTTCTGTAAGTTTCTCTACAGTGATGTCTGGAATCGGACCTTCGATGGGTGGAGCGTCATAGTTGACATTGATGGGATTTGTTTCATTTAACAGACGGTTGAAATATTCTTTCCACTGTTGCTTGATCTCATCTTGTTCAAGAACCATCTCATTTGGTACTGCAGGTATCCAAACGTTACTACAACTTTGCCGTGAAATCTGGAGAAATTGCTCAATGCCGACTGAATGGAACTATAGCATGACAGTTCCGCTATACAAAGGCAAAGGTGATCCAATGAACTGTTCATCATATAGGAGTATAAGTCTGTTAGAACACTCCCTGAAAATTGTCGAAAAAATCATTGAGAGAAGATTAACGTCGTGCATCACAATCGGAAATTATCAATTTGGTTTTCTAGCGGGAAAATCAACAATTGATGCAATTCACATCCTTCGGCAACTGCAAGAGAAGTACTTCCAAAGCATCAACAACTATCACACATTTTGTAGACTTGAATAAGCATTTGATCGAGTTCCCCGTGAAGCAATCAGGTGGAGTCTACGTCGACAACTCATTCCAGAATATCTTGTTCGACTTGTGATAGAAATGTATACGAATACTAAGACTCTCGTCAGCACAACGGTTGGAAACACAGATGCAATTGACATCGGCGTTGGAGTTCACCAAGGCTTGATTCTCAGTCAGCCAATACGCACTGGTGACCTTTGGAATCTAATATATGCTGATGATATCGTTTTAACAGCCACGTCTGAGCAGAATGCAGCACAGATGTTTAAAGATTGGAACACCAGACTCGCCGATCATGGATTCAAAGTCAACATCAGCAAAACCAAAGCAATAAACACTGGTGAACCTATTCAATCCACACCTACTGGACGATGGTCCTGTTCAGTTTGTAAAGCTGGTGTAGGTAACAATTCAATCAAGTGTCAGCAGTTTAACCAGTGGTGTCACAAACGTTGTTTAAAAATAATTGGCACTTTATCTAAAGTGTCCCGCTTGCATCAATCCCCAACAACAAATTCGAAAAAGCAATGTTTTTGAAGCCATTAAGGTAGAGAAAGTCACATCGTTTTAATATCTAGGGGATGTTCTAGATTGTACTAGAACAGCTGAAACTGCCGTTTGATCACACATACGTGCAGCCTGAAGCAAAAGTTGATGGCAAAGAAAACAACGTCCTACCTCGGGAAACTGGGTCTTTAGACGTCAAACGAAGTTTAATTGATTGATTGAAATGTTTTCAATAGGTTTTTTAATTAAATTTTTATGTATGCTTTTTTTTAGTTTATTTTATTTTATCATTTTTTTATTTCTTTTTATTTTATTTTTTTTAAGTTTTTTGTTTTATTTTATTTTTTTTACATTTTTCGTTTTATTTTATTTCATTTTTTGTACTTCTTCATAATTGTTTGTTTTGCAAATTTTGTGTTGAGCCCGGTTGAATTTTTAGAAATTGGGCTATATAAATTTGATTGGTTGATTGTATATAATAAGAATTTTAAAATTTTATAAGTATATATATTTGTGTGTGTGTGTGTGAAAGGTAAAATTAAATTTATTAAGTGGAAAAATAGATATGTGAGTTTAAGTAATACGTAATGAAAATTATCAACAGGTTACAACATATCTATATTTACACACACACACAAACACGCACATACATATATATGTAATATTTATATATGAAAATCACAGCATGTTCCGCGTTAGGTAACTTCCTGTTTAATTTTTTATTTGTCTAACGGTAGATCGTAAATTATTGTCAAATTTTTTAACGATCTACCGTTAGAAAAATCAAAAATTAAATAGGAAGCTAACTAACGCGGAACGTTTTGTGATTTTTATCAATGATTTTATTACTGACAGTCTTAATCAATCAATAAGAAACTTATATAGCGCCAATTAAATGTTTTCAAAGGCGCTAAACATAGAAGTCTAAAATACTATTAATAAGAGAAAACTTAAGTGAAATTATCAAAAGTTAACAGTAAATAAATGTTTTCAGTTCTTTTTTAAATGTTCTAAGAGATAGTCAGGACGAGATACTCCGTGCACCAACCTGCAAGTGGGAAACCGGTATTGTCAACAAATACAAATCATTTGACCGTAGATGAGACAACGCAGACATTTTTTTGAAAATTCGTTTACTAGATATTCTGGTGACATTCCAATCAGTGATTTAAACATAAGTACAGCGATTTTGAAGGTTACTCTTTTATCTACTGACCTTTTTGAATGTTTATAAAACAAACTGTTGCAGTAGTTGTTAAATTTCTTGTAACGTAGATCGTTTAATTAATGGATATTAGTATAATATTGAAAGGCATTAAAAAAAGCATATAAACTTAGAAACGTTTTTGACTCGTTTATTATCAATCGAAACAACAAAAAGTGAATTTACATACAATGCAAAGAACATTTAGCCAAAATAAAATAGATGTATATCATAATGTTTTAAAATAAAACATAAAACTTAGCACTTCATTTTATTTAAAAACATTAGATAACCTTAACATAAATGTTCTGAAGACCCATCATACACGTCAGATTCTTAAGTCTTCGTCTTACCATTGGTTTTGTCAGAGCATCAGCAACTTGAAGTTCTGTTGCAATTCGTTCAACTGAAACATCTTATGCAACCTCTTCTCTGACAAAAAAATGTCTAATGTGGATATGCTTTGTTCTTCTGTGAAGTTCCGGATTATGTGCTAAACGAATCGCTGCTTCATTGTCGACAAAAATTTCTGGCTTTTTCTTCAGATCTACAGTGTCGTTCAACAATCGTTTAAGCCATACCACTTCGCGAGCTGCTTCACTTGCGGCAACGATTTCTGCTTCGGTAGTTGAAATTGCAACTGAGGGTTGACGTTGGCTAAACCAACTGATCACGGTTTCTCCAAACATACAGATTACACCTGATGTCGATCTTCCGCTAGATTTATCTCCTCCATGATCCGCATCACTCTAGGTTATTAGTTTAATATATATATATATATATATATATATATATATATGATTATTTAGAGATACATTGTGGAGATACAGTATATATTTAATATAAACTTGAGCATTTGGCCACATACACAACGCATCAATTCAAACCGAAGATGGTATTAAAATACTGAAAAAAGCTTTTCTGTTCTATCATGCTTAAAATAAAAAAATTCGGTTTTGAACTTAAGAAACTTGACAAAGATTTTTAGAGATTCAACTGGGCTGAACTTAAGTTTGCAAAACAAAAAGTTAAACAATAAAACGAAATAAAATAGAAATAAAATAAAGAAAAAAGCACAAGACAATTCAATGAGCAATAACAAGTAAAGACATATAGGAAGCACTTTAAGCATGCAAATTGATTAACCGAATTAGTAAAAGTAAAAAGATAATGTATCAAACAAACAAAAAAGTCAGTCAGTTCAAAAAAATCAATCAAAAATCTAGTTTAATTTGTAAAATAAACTAAATAAGCCATATAACAAAAATCAAATAACTAACAAAAAACGATCAAATAATCAAGCGCCAAATCAGTAAAGCAAATTATTAACAAATAATTGATCAATCAAAAACTTATTAAAAATATGAATAAGAAACAGCAAAAATAATCAAAAATCAATAAAACAAGTATATACAAATCAGGCAATTAATTAAATAATAATTGAAAAAAATACAAAAATTAATTAAACATAATTTTTATTCATTTTTTGCATTTTCGTTTTCCGTGATTATAGGTCCTGTAGATCACGTCATTTATTTTGTTAGTGATCTTGTACCGATCATTCCAATTTCTAAGGAGTTTCGCAGGGTATCGCCTTTTTATGTGCCGCATATTGTACAACCAGATCAGGTCCATTTTGCTCTTGAAACCTGTGTCATTTTTTTTGGCCATGCAAAGTTTTCGTTGTTTCAGTTTCTTGAGCCATAGGTAGCCGTCGTAGCCAAACGGATATCTTTGATGCTTGTTGTAAAATTCGTTGTTTACGTCTTTCTTGTCAATTAGTTATCCTGCGATGAGAGACTCATCCTCATTAGCAATGAATCCGTCGTTGATGTTATCATCCAGGTTGACGAGAACCAAGCTTTTCTTCCAGGTCCATGTTGGAAATGTCATCTCAAAAATTGAATCATCTTTGGTCACTAATTATTGTCCTGAATGAATATTTGCAGTAACATTACCCTCAAGGGCATCGCTGTTAAAATGGAAAGCAGGCAAGTTTAGGCGGCAAGATCCAAGCAACAGTCTTACTGCATAACAACAGTTTCAATGTCCTTGTCACTGCCAACTTTTGGACTATTTTCAAAATCTTCATCGTCGTCTTCGTCATCATCTTCATAATAAAAAGCATTATGCAAGTTGATGGAAAAATATTTGAGTAATAGTCCAACTGCATGGCAACAGTTTCAATGACCTTGTCATTTCCAACTTCTGGATTATTTTTAAAACCTTCATCGTCGTCTTTGTCATTATATTCATCATTGACCACATACACAACATATCAATTCAAACACCGAAGATGGTATTTCTATAGGAATACTGAAAAAAGCTTTTCTGTTCTATCATGCTTAAAATAAATAAAAAATTTTGGTTTTAAACTCAAGAAATTTGACAATGATTTACCCCATTAATGCCCAAATTTTTTAACTCAATCAAAATAATTTTTTTTATTAGCATTGACATAAAATAAAATGTAAAAAACAATTATTCATCAAATTGATAAAAAAATTGTTTAAAAGAATGAGTTCAATGACTGCACCTCATTAGGGTGCAGTCATTGAACTCAGTAGGCATAAATGTGTACATCAATGTCAAAGTGCATTTAAACAATTAAAATTAAAATCATTAAGTTTCAATCATAAGCCATATTTCAAAGCAATGATCATGCAATCCTATATTACATTTTTGCACCCTTTCTTGTGTTTTTGTGGCAGTGAGCGCATCGCTTCTGAGTTTCCAATTGGCTTTGAAAATGGTCAATCCTGTCAGTTCTAACATCGATGCTGACTCTTTTGTTTGCCGAAGTTAATTTTCCTTTAGGACGCCCAGGTGTACTTTTTTGTAAATTGTACATTGATAAATAGTCAAGCACTACTCTTCTTTGGAAGTACAAATAATCTAAATTTTCATCCTCGTCGAGTTTGTTTTTTTTTTATAAAGATGCCAGCAGTTTTGCATCACCATGTCTGGAATCCAGGAAAACAACGGCCACCACCATTTTTTACTTCTAAGTCCAATCCTATATGCTGCAATGTTTTGGTCACATCGCTCGACCACTCCCATAAATTTATTGTATAACTTTACAACATGTGGCTGTTCAACTGATATTCTTGAACCGGTTTTACGGCACCTTCTAGAGGCTTGGCCTATTGGATCTGTTCCTAAATGGTTGGAGACCATATAAACACTTCTGTTATCATTCCATCCAACAACGATGTACAAATTATTTTTTTCCGTCATACATTTAAAATATCCCCTTTCTTTCTTTTCTAAATTTTTGGGAATAATAATAGGACATTTTCCCAATTTGTTGTATCTAATTACTCCTGTGAATTTAATTTTTTTTTCGTTTAATTTTTGTAACCGAAAATTTGTAAAAAAATTGTCAATATATAAGTTATATGGGACATTTCGTGGCAACTTTTCCATCAAATCTAGCACTACTTTTTTCTACTTTTTTGTGGCTGAACTTTTCACACTACGGGCAGTTCTTTTGGCTCCCTGATAAGGATCAAACTGAACAACATAGCCATCACATGTTGCAAGAACCCAGATTTTGTAGCCCATTCGGATTGGTTTACCCATTATCCTTTGTTTTGTGCTGTGTCGCCCATAGTACGGAACCATGGACTCAGCGATTGATAAATATTCTTCATTCAAGAAATACTCAAAACATTTGCTATTTATCATCGCATAAAAAGGTCGAATTTTTGACAATTTGTCATTTTTATCTAATTTGTCGTTATCACATAAATGAAGAACTAACATTAATTCTTTAAATCGGTTTCTCGACATGCAGTTTGACATTGCTTCGTTGTGCATATCAGGAGAGTTCTCCCAATAAAATACGTCGTCTTGGTAGAGACGCATAACCTGACAAAAGAAGCATAGCAAAAAAAAAACAAATTTCTTCTAATGTGGTAGAAAAATGATGCTTTCCTTTGTCTCTTCTTGCATATAACTCTGTCATGTCTTTAATGAAAAAGCATTAAAAAGTTGAGTTGGTGTCAAATTAATATTCAATTTTCTCTCCAATGGTTTAGGACCAAAGTCTTTATCCGGTAAATTGCGTCTAACCCATTCACTTTTCATGAATTCTGGTATTTCAGCTGATGGTAAAGCATCATCTTTGAATAGTTTATCAAAGCTATCAACAATATCATTTCCATAGTTAATTCTGAAATCAGCCGGGGCGGTCAATTGTTGTGCACTAAGATAGTCAGCATTTGTGCTTTCTTCGTCATCACTATTTATTTTCATCCGAACAATTACCACAAGAAGGAGGCAATAAAGTTACATCAGCATCTAAAAACGTTTCATCTTCCAATATTGATAAAACTTCATTGACTGTATATCTGTAAATATAAAATAACGGAAAATAAAATGGGAAAAAAGAAATGAACCAATAAATGCATCTATATACGCATTTGTGCCTACTGCACCTTTATAAGATGCAGTTTATTGAGAAACTAATAATAGTTTGTGGAGAGCACTAAAATACCGGATTTTCAAACATTTTAGAAGTAGAAATAATTGTAATAAAAATCATCAAAAGAATGAACATTAATTATTAATGTAAACATTAAAAATACAAACTTTTTAGATGCCATTTTAGCACTCGCCATTTTATCAATTTATTTTAACAAAATACAAAATTTCTAACGATCTACGGCGAATACCAACAAGAAATGAATTAATTACTTATCATAAATTGTAAACAACGCTAATATTATCAAAAACTGTAAATATTTTTTTAATTCTGAAGAGTTCTAAAGAAAATAATGACCGCACCCTATAAAGGTGCAGTAGGCACTAATGGGTTACGATCTACCGTTAGAAAATTCTAAAAATTAAATAAGTAGCTAACTAACGCGGAGCATGTGGTGATTTTCACCAATAATTGCATTTCTGACAGCATTTGACGAAGAAACTTTTTGGAACATTTATAAAGCCCAATTTGAAGCAGCAGCAAAGAATTATGGCTGGAATGAAAGAGAGCGGGCAACGGCTCCTGTGGTGGCGTTACGAGGGTCAGTGGCAGAAGTTCTCCAAACGATTCCAATCTAAAACCATTCCAACTATGAAGTCCTTGTCAATGCGTTAAATTTACGTTACGGTGAAGAGCACATGAAGCAAATATATTGGTCCCAGTTACGAAATCAGACGCAGAAACCTGGAGAGTTAATACAGCAGCTGGCACAGGATATTGAACGGTTGACTCTGCTGTCATACCTTACGTACAACCCCCAACACAGAGAAGAAACTGCATTGAAAAGGTTTGTAAAGGCTGTTTGAGATTCGGATCTTAGAAAAACCCTCATACTAGCGGACACACGCAAATTCAAAGACGCCGTTGCCTACAGTTTTACATTCGAGTCAGCAAACCAAGCATCAAGGACTGACGTAAAGCTGCGCCAAATTTGTGAAGAATGTTCGTGTCAGAAGATGGTTCTAGAACAGAAGGGTCAGGATTATGGTGCGCCGAAATACTGAAACTGTGGAGAAAAAAGACATCTGCTAGGAGATTGTAAACAATGTCCTAGAAACAATTACTGTCGTCCTTGTGCAACAACATGGCACAAACTGTTAGATGGTGACTCGCGTCACGACCGACCACCTCAAACAAGGAGGCGGGAAACTAATGAAAGCCAATTTCGCCAGACGGAAGTTGGCTGGTAAAATTGACGTCCCCACTACCGTGATTAAGGTCTCTAGGCTGCATCGAAGTCGATGCGACCTTTGAATGGATGGCAAAGTTGGTTCACAAGAAAATCGAGGTCAATTGTAAGATCTGATCTGGTACCCAACCTAGAAAGAGAACAACTTCATATATACATTCTTCTAACAGCTACAGGAGGAACGGCGCTTGTCTACGGAGAAAATTCTTATACTGTTCAACTAGGCGATTTAGCATCCGAGGGTACATTCCTAATAGCAGATATCACTGACAAATGCATAATAGGCGTTGATTTCCTAACAAAACATGGTTTTAAAATTGGTTTAGAAAAACGCGTCCTTAGTTGAAGAAATACGGAGATAGACAAGTAATGTGAAATGTATTCATATTACGATCGACAGTGACACTGAAGTACCTAAATCATCAAAAAACTCGGCAAAAATAATTAGCGATAATGGGGACCACCAATTCTACCTGGTTGAGCCAACGAAGACGATGGAAATTAACAACATTGTTATTGAAAAGAGTCTCGTAAAAGCAAATAAAAATAGCAGAACCTTCATTACACTTAAAAAGGACGTTAAAATAGGCTTTTGTCAATCTGTAAATATCGTGAAGTTTTGGGATATTCGACATCAGAATAGTGGTCGGCTAGTCGATAAGAATAATCTTGAAAAGCTCACGGAGAGTCTATTATGTAAACTAAATTTTCAACAGTGAGATCGTTCAAGAGCCACAAATTTGTTAGCAGATTTTGCAAATGTATTTTTAATCGGAGACGATAATCAAGGAAAAACGGGCCTAGTTACTCGTCGAATTGATACTCATGACTCGAAGCCAATAAGACAAGTACCACGCCTTGTCTTCTTTTATTATTTCTTTTAATTATATGAAAATACAGCTTACTTGTTTTTGAAACCATCTTCTTTTTGGAATTTAATTTATAAGTTCGCTTTCGAATAACCTGATTTATTAATCTAAGTAGAAAAATTAAGTTCCAAGATCGTTTACAAAGCCAACAATAATAAAATATAACCTCGTGCTATTTGCATTTGTATATAAGATAATACCAAAGTAATGAAACATAATTTACAAGCACAGAATAGAAATTCAAAGAATACCTAAACATAGATAATTATATGAAATATAATTTACATAGGTAACTGCGCTTAATGGGCATCTTAGCGGTCAAAAACAAAAATCGACTTGTTGACCGATTTGCGACCTGCAACGTCCAAACGCTTTTGGACCAAACTGTAACAGAACGATCTGCGGGGCGCACGGCTTTTATTGCCCTTTAGCTGGGCAGATACCAAATCAACATTGCTGCTCTAAAAGTAGAGTTCCAGGTTTTTGCAGTTGAAACAGAAAATTTTCTCTTTCCAAAACGAGACGAATTGAATTTAGAAGACACAAGATTTCATTGAAATGGGATCTCAGTCGACCCAGATTTGCGATTCCTGAAACTATTTGTGGTTGTTACTTTAAATAAATTGGAGCAACACCAGCAAGACAATCTCGGACTAAAAGAACTAATCAATCAGTCAATCAATCAATCAATCAATCAATCAATCAATCAATCAATCAATTAGCTTATAACGCGCTATTTCCGCGATGTTCAACATCGCTCCTCAATGAATTTTGAAAACAGATGGGTCTTGAGATCCGCTCTGAACTTCGCAAGTGATGTAGAAGTAGTCAGAGAAGTAGGTAGAGAGTTCCAAAGAAAAGGACCAGAAAAAGCAAAAGCAGATTTGGCAAAAGAGTGTTTAACACGAGTTAAGAAAAAGCGAGAACAAGCGAGACAACATTTAGATTGAGACCTTTACACAAACGTGCAAATTTTAAAAATTGTTCTATATTTTATAGGTAGCCAGTGCAAGAGAACAAAGTATGGAGATATATGAGAAAAGAAAGGGGCATGAGCAACTAGACGAGCGGCAGATTTAAAAGCTTTACTTAAAGGATAGAGTTTAGAGTCAGGAGACCATAGTAGAGCAAGTTACATAATCAATTCTAGATAAAACTAACGAAGTAACAAGAAAAAGAAGAGTAGGATCATCAAGAAAAGGCAAAAAATTTTTTATTCTGCGTAGATGAAAGTAAGAGCTCCTAGCAACACTATTAATCTGAGAAGAAAGAGACATAGTAGAATCAAAGATAAAACCTAGACAACGAAACTTATGAGACATCAAGAGTTTTAGAATCAGGTAAGATAATAGGAGGAATAGTAATAGAGTGTTTAGATTTATTAAAACAAATCAATTCAAACTTAGAAGGATTAAGTTTAAGACACATAAAGTCAGACCAATCGATAATTGAAGAAAGACACAGAGATAGATTATGAAGAACACTATTGAGATTAGATGGAGGAAAAGAAGTATAAATGTAAGAATCATCAGCATATAGTTGACTAGAAAAAATAAAGTTATTAATAATACGAGGTAGTTTAGAAGTATAGAGTATAAATAGAAGAGGGCCAAGGATAGAACCCTGAGGTACCCCGAAAGTAAGAGTAGAGGAGTTAGAAGTAGAATTATTGAAAACAACAGAAGTAAAACGATTACAGAGATAAGAAGAAAATCAAGATAGACAAGAATCAGTAATATTAAATGAAAGATGTAGCAGTCTCAAGAGAATAGTATGATCAACAGTATCAAAAGCAGAAGAAAAGTGAAGAGCAAGAAGAGTAAGATTACTATTGTCACTAGAGAGAAGGATATCATTGTGTATTTTGAGTAAAGAAGTTTCAGTACTGGGAGAAAATGATCACGAAAGGATAAGTTGACACCGAACATAATCGCATTGTAGTAATCAATTCTCATACGAATAAATCTACAAACGAATGTATTTATTTGTTGACTCAACTGTCAAATAACGTCTGATTGATTGATTCTGTAGAATATATTATTATTATTTCGGTTTTAACATATTCAAAATTAGTTGAGCGAGAATAATGGCGGTATGTTTTAATATAGGTTTTACCACAAGTTTTCATTTTAAATTAATTATTTTTTTAATTTTAAGTTTTTACGTTTTAAATTTGGCAAACACCATTTTTCATAACAATAGAATAGAAATCCTAGAATTAACAAACTGTCGCTAAACCAACCAAACTTCTTTATGAGTGCACAAGCGTCAGAAATACAAGAATCTGAAAGCTCATTCAAATTTAAACGCAAAATTTGTTAATTTATTATAAACTCTTTTAAAATATCGACTATCGGGTTTTATCAATATTTTAATTTATCTCTAAAACAATAAATAAATATAATTTTAAATATTCTCTTTTTACTCCCATGCATTTGTCCTCGGCAATGAGTATGGGAGGATCGTACATTTTATATATAAATTTTAATTATATTATATTTTATAATAGCTTCCTTTATTCATTTAAAAATAACTTTTAGTTTATTTTATTTTATGCGACAATAAAAGAGTGTTTCCATCAAAAAGATTGTGGTTAATACCATTATTATTTAACTTGTTGGTTAAAATATGAGTAGGAAGAGTTCTATGAAAACACAAAAGCATTTAACCTCATTTCAATTAATAATTATACAACTCGTTATAAATCATTTTTAAAACGTCATCTTGTCATATATACAATTTTCTGCCTCGTTCATACAACCATTGTTTGATAACATAACACGTTGAAAATAGTAAAAGGTTACCAAAAAAGCTTTTTCTGGATAAAAAATGAATAGAATATTAGTTAAAAACTTTGGTTCCTATATAAATAAATAAGAAACCAATGATAAAAATATTAAAAACTAAGCAACATTCCTTCAAATTATTATCTGTTTAATATTAAAATATTTCTCAATTGATGAAAAAAATGTGAAAAGGAAGAACACATTTCAATTATAAAATTATAAACATTCTACATGGAATATTTTAAAAAATGAATCAGCAAATTTTAGAATGAAAATGCTTATTGAATAAGATTTAATCCGAGCATTTTCATAAAAATTGACTGTGTGCAGGCTCAGCTAGCCACTGTAAGCAGCATCGGTCGGCACAACAATTGCCATATTTGCATACATTTGTCCTTTGCATTGCTCTCTTTCTTTATATATACTGCATCATAGCGAACGTTTATATATCAAACAACTCGGAGAAAAGAACTTTATTTGAATTATTAATAAAAAATTTTATATTTTTGGTTTTCGGAGTATTATATTTTCGAGCTGAAAAAGATAAGGTAACTTTGATTTAATTTTGTTTATAATTTTCATTTTTTGATGAGATATTTATTTAATGTATCTGTTAGTTAGCAATAAGAAATTTTTTATACAGTAAATTTAATATATTTGTAAATCAATAACTATTTCAAAACGCCGCATTAAAACCATGTCAATATATCAAAATTAAAATAAATTTAAATAATCAAATTTTTGTAAACTAAATATTTACATGGTACATGAGTTCTGTGTGCGTCCTGTCCGTAACACACACACATACACACTTACAAAAACACACACACACACGAACACACAAACAAATACACACACACACACATATATATAAATATGTATTGAGGGACGAGGTTTTCTTTTATGCAAATATATATATATATATATTGTATAAATTTTAGCGAATTGTTGGCATTAATCAATTTGAAGTTTGCCTTTTCAATTTTTCTTACTAGAATGTTTTGGAAATGGTTCAATTTGCTGCAAATACAATTATCTAAGTTAATCATAAAAATTTAATGAAACTGTTGTTATCCGAATTCCCCATACAGATAAGGCCTTATTTTAATTTTTTATAATTCATCGTCAGTGCAGGTTTGGTTTATATTGTTTTTTAAACAACGCAAAGTTCTTTAGCAAAGTTTATTAGTTGGTATCGTATTCTTCATCTTTGTTGTTGTCATTCGTTGTCGTTCTTCATTGTTATTGAAGTTAGTATTAAGGCGTCGAGTTGGTAATGATGTTATCATTCTTTGTTAGATGTTTATTTGTGGTTTAATGATATATATATATATATATATATATATATATATATATATACATAGGCGCCAACAAAGTATCGTTTTGCCCCCTCCCCAATAATTTTGACTT